TGTGCCTTCTAAGGTTACCCGGGCTGCTTTCATATTCCGTCTCCACTTGTGAGAAGCAGAATACGAGATTATGTAGAGACATTGTATAAAATGTTAGTTCAGTATGCTGTTGAGCTGACTGTGATGAATTCCATACCACAGGTGGGCTTGATGATCCAGCAAACAGTTAATGAAAGATTTGGCAAATGCTTGCTGGAGTTAAGTGGTAACAATGCGATTATAGTCATGGATGATGCGGACATTAAACTAGCCGTGCGCTCTATTTTGTTTGCAGCTGTAGGTACAGCTGGTCAGCGTTGCACAACCTGTCGTAGACTGGTAAGAAACTACTAAACTTAATATTTTCATGCATTTTGCAGGTGAAAAAATGCTGAAGCTAATGAAGGTTTTTTAACTTATTCTTTCTTTCTTGCACTGCAGTTTCTTCATGAGAGTATTTATCAAAATGTGGTGGATCAACTAGTTGGACTGTATAAACAAGTCAAAATTGGAGATCCCCTGGAGAAAGGGACCCTTGTTGGGCCAGTACATACCCGTGCTTCAGTGGAAAACTTTAAGAAGGGCATTTCAGCCATAAAATCGCAGGTATATATGGTGTTGTATTGCCACACTTTTGGTTAAGTATTATTTGAGTATGGTCTGACAGTATCATGGTTAGTGAACCCTTTTTTGTTTTTCCATTTCCAAACCTCTGTTTAAGATGGATTTTAGACTTCGTGGAGATGTTTTACTTGATGTTCTGATTCTGATTATCAGGGAGGAAAGATCCTGACAGGGGGATCTGTTCTAGAGTCTGAAGGAAATTTTGTAGAACCAACAATTGTTGAGATATCTCCGGATGCTTCTGTAGTTAAGGAAGAGTTGTTTGGTCCAGTTCTATACGTCATGAAATTTCGGACTCTAGAGGAAGCATTTGCCCTGAACAATTCTGTACCTCAAGGATTGAGTAGTTCAATCTTTACTAAAAGACCTGAAGCTATATTCAGATGGATTGGGTGAGTGCTTATGGATTCTTTTGTCTGTTTATCTTGTTGTTATATGCTACTGTAAAACATTCTGGCTTAGGCACCCAAATGTAACTGAAATCCCCGGATGCAGCTGATGATTCTGTGATTGATGATTTTGTTAACAATATTTTTCATGCCGGTGATCACCATGCAGGCCACTGGGCAGTGATTGCGGTATAGTGAATGTAAACATTCCAACAAACGGAGCTGAAATTGGCGGTGCTTTTGGCGGAGAAAAAGCAACTGGTGGTGGTCGTGAAGCTGGAAGTGACTCTTGGAAGCAGTATATGCGTCGTTCAACTTGGTAAGGTTTATGCTTTTAGCCCTCAAATTATGAGCTCTGTTCTACGTGTTTCTCCATGTCCTGTTAATGACATGTTTGGCCAAAAAGAAGTCAAGTAATGACATTGATAATTTCTGCTATTGACAGCACCATCAACTATGGGAGTGAACTGCCATTGGCTCAGGGAATCAACTTTGGCTAGTGAGCCATCCTTGTGAAGGAGGGGGTTGAAGGGCAATTTCCGGCCGGGAGAGTAGATGATCTGTAGGAGGGTGATATTTGGCTGTTATGCTATCTAATCTAAATATGTCGTATCTCTGCAGCTGTGATGATGTTTAAGAGACATTAAGGCAGATGTTGATAAGTCAGTGAGATGTGATCTTTATTTTCTTCACAAAGGGTGCCGAATTTGTGGGGTTCTTCTTGGGGGTCTTCTTAATTCTGAGTATCGCGTTGCTTTCAAAATTTAGATAGCTGTGGACGGGAAAGCTTACGTATTCTTTTGCAAGACTAACTCCTATGAATAGATCAAATGACGTATAAATAAAGATATGCCACGTCACAGTCACGGGAGATTTATATTTTCAAGAAAACGCAACGCTGAAGATTTTTATTATAGGACTTGGATTGGATGAGGCAATGAATATTTTGATTTTTTTTGGGGTCACATTATAATTATTAGTAATATTTTTCGAGTTATTTCTCATGCCTTTTGAAATTTATAAATTTAACTCATTTTTGAAGTTGCAATTTTGATAGTTGAGAATAATATGGCGGTGGGGGATATGTTTTTCAAGATAGTGGCGGGTTGACTTTTGACCAACCGTAACCCGTTATTTTTAGCGGGTTGATGGGTTAGACCTGCGGGTTCAACTCATATTACTGGCTCTAAAGTTCAGCAAGTCCATAATATGGTTCATGGACCATGTGAAATACCAACAAGCCTCCAAGTCCAAGCTTCGCCAAATGGTCAGCTGCAGCATTACAGGCTCGAGGGGCATACGAAAGTTGAACCTTCCGGCTTCTATCTATGAGTGATTTACGTACAATTACTTGCTCGAACTTGTAATTTTCCCAAGACGTGACACTAGCAGTGTTTGAGTGAAACTAAATCATAATTTTAAAAATATTTTTATAATATATGAAATAAATATATTATAAAAGAATTTACTTCATTTTATAAAACAATGCTTTTTAAAAGTATTTTTGGATGTCTGCAAACATCCCCTGTTTCTAAGAGAACTCAGATGAACTCTAATGTTGACATCCGGATTCCGCGACTCCACAGTACGGGAATAGCGTGTCCTTATAGTTTGTTTATATTTAAGGCTTAAATATTGGGAGTTGGCGGGAAAGGACCCTGTACAGTACAGCAACCAAGTCACATGTTTTTTGGATTGATTTATAAAGAGAAAAGCGGTAGATGAGCATAGACGAAACACGTGTATTTCTTGATCATGACTCTGATTTTGTTGTAGGACCGTCGCTGTCGTTGTGGGCTCCTGCAAATCCCATAATGACTATCATTTTACGCAGACATATATATTTAGTGGTGGTTAATCTTGTTTTACCTCTACTCGCTGCTCACTCCTTTCGGAATATATATTTATATATATATTGCCATTTGCCCATCATCACCGATATTTTAATACATTTGAATTTAATTACGGTATTCATTTGTGTACGAGAGTGGAAAGATTTTTAGGTTGACTTTAATGACCGAAATCAACGTGGCAAACCAAGATTTAGATTCAGAAAAAATCTTTGTTTCTTGACTGCCAGATGATCTAAAGCCATGTAAAGGGGAAAAGCAGAAAAGTGGACCAAACAAAATGGTTTCCACATCGTCTATTTTTGTCTATATCGTGCCTGGTTAATATTACGGTTGAGGACCTTCTTTGCCCCCTAATTGTTTTCTTTTTTGTCATAAGGAACTCCCGAGTCTCTCTTTTCGTGAGAACAATTAATTTGTTTCTCATCTTTATTTATTTCTTCAGTTACTTACTTTCTGGCTCGGTTTACTTGTGTTTTTTGTTTTGGGTTTTGTTGATGCTTTGTACCTGTGCTACTTAGTAGTGCATCTTTGTTGGCTAAAAAAAAAAACAGAGAGAACAATTAACTTGAAGTAAAGACTTTGGATGCTAGTAAAAGAAAAAAAAAAACTAAGGACTTTCGAGTGCTACTTCTCTCTCTTGCTCCCTCTCTGTTCTTAACCTGGCCCAAAACGCCTGGGTTTGACCATACTATTCGTATTATCGAGAAAACTCCAGGCTGACCAGCCTAAATTGATTGATTGTATTTCGGTTTTAGTCAACTATAACTGCTTGAATTAATTTTTAATTAATTAATTACCAACTTCGATGTCTTCAGCATGGAGGCTGGAGCACCCTTATCATTATGCGCTTTCTTCTACACTGTCTTAAGAAACATACCATGGGGCCCGTTTGGTATGTTGGCATTGATTTTGGTGGAAATGGAAATGGATATGGATATGGAGATGGAAGCAGATATGGAGATGGAAATGGGGTTTAAAAGTGTGTTTGGTATGCGATAGAAATGAGACTTACTTTTTATATGAAAAGGCCAGAATACCCTTCTAAATTAAGAAATACAAAAATCTTTTAGACAGTGACAAACCCATCTTCGTCCTCTTCTCACAGCAGTTTCTCTCCTCAACACTAAGACTTTTGCTAACCCGAGAGACCAAAAAGGAAGCTGATGCGTGATGTAAGAAGCAAAGGAATATCAAATGGAGGAAGAGTTTGTGGGTATAGGGGAAGATGATGAAACAGAAGAGGAGATCAAAGATGTAGCATGATGATGGGTCATCGACCATCGGAGATCTAGCACGACGATTGGTTGCCATCAACTAGAGATCTGCCCCTTTTAAGCAGTATTTTGCTGCTGCTGTTGATCTACTTGTCTCTTCCTCTAGGTAGTATGGTCGCCGTCGATCTGCAAAGCGGAGAAGAAGACGATGATAGAGGAGAGTGAGAAGCTCGACACCACCTTGGTCACCGGAGTCGCCGTTCACAGGGTTCATGGCCGAGGGTAGGTGCATGTGAAGTGTGCTAGCGATGTGTATGAAGCTTATTGGTGGTGGGTGTGGTGGGGCAAAAATGAACTCTGTATCATGGAAATGCAAATCTTGGGGTTCTAGGATGGAAGCCAATTCCATCATTCTGGCTTCCATGTGGAAGCCAATTCCATGGAGTTCTGGTGTACCAAATATACAATTGACGTGGATTTCATTTCCATTTCCATTTCTTTCCCCTCATTTCCACCGTACCAAACGGCACCCATGTTTGTTGGTCAAGTGTCAACCCTTCGCCCGGCTTATGCATTTCTTAATTACACCTGTGAAAGACTTAAGTCGGAGAATCAATCTAAAACTCGACCCAAACATATAAATTATTTTTAAAATCTATTTAACTAATTTAATTAGATTAAAAAAATTAGATAAACTATTTAATTATAAAAAAATATAACATATTTTTCTTTAAAACACTATAATCATATTTATTCGTATCGTTTCTTTCTCTTCTTTTTAATTATGATTGAAAGAGCATCAACAAAAATAATTCAAAAAATTGATAAATATAAGAAATAAATCTTCTATTTAAAATCAATATTAATTTAATAATTAGATTTTACATTAAAAATTTTAGAAGTATATAATATTTCTTCTGTTTGAAGAGTCGTAGAGGGCATAAAAACTCCAGCAACATCGTTAAGATATACAGGACAAAAAATAATAAAGAGAAGAAAATCTAAATTCACGTAATGATGCCTCCGCTTCCGCTTTTTGTTTTGTTGGAAATTTCCTGCCGTCGATACTGCCAGAAGTTTCAGACATAACCATTTCTACCTTTTTTTTTCCTCTCGAGTTTGATTGGCTCACCTGTTCCCGTGCACCTATCAAGTCGCTTACTACGGACAAATAAGTAAACAGAAATCATTATCCCATGGCTATGGTCGTGACCGCTACCCGACAGAGCTTAACGTGCTAGATTATTCCAGAATCAGTGCTGAGAAACTTCATGATTATGCAATTCTTGTCAGCTCGGATAGATATTAGAGTAATCCACCTTTGTCATGTTACACTGACTGAACAGAGAATTTATAGCTAAAATTTGTTCAGAACATGCTATTTACAAGAGAAGGAAGCAAGGAAATTCAAAGAAATACTACTAAAATCAAGTAATTAATTAATACGCTCATTACTACCTATGAGGCTATGATCATCTTGAAGAAAGCACATGTAAGAGAAAGACCATTTTGTTTTTTTTAATGTCTCGCTCGAAACAGAGATGGAGTTTGATGGGTTTGATTCCCGCGTTGCGTTTTACCTCAACCTGAGATGGAGGAGAAACAACTTTCGGACCGAACCAGAGGCGAGCTCCGAGCTTGATGAGCCACCGGCAAAGAGAAGCTTGATGAGTTTGATCGGATATGTCTGGGGGAATCCAAGCTCCGGCGAATAACCCGACCCATGGCGAATATTGGGTGTTCGGTTTTACCGAGATGACCGTCGGAAGAAGACCGGAACTGGGAGCAGAAACTGATATGGCGGTGGAGAGCTTCTTCAAGAGTGATGAGGCGGTCTGATCGCAAAACCTCGTCCTTCACAGCCTCCACGCATAACCCACATAACCACCGACCTTGAAACCTCTGACGAACACGAGAGATGTAAGCAACAGTGCAATCCTCTGAGAATCCGCATGAATCACATTTGACGCTCTCAACCTCCATCTGAGGTTGTTTCGTTGTTACACTACTTTGTGTCTGACTCTCTCTCTCCGACCCGGCAATTCCCATCTGTCTGCCTTCTTCCTTCCTCTGTCTTTCTCTCCCCATCTATATATATATGGGGATGGGTGAGGTTGTCCTGCGTCCCCCCCACCCCTTTTTTTTTGGGGCCACGCAGGCCGTCATGTGTTAATAATGAAGGAATTATGCCTCAGAATTTGAAATTTTTGAACTTTTTTTTTTTCTTTTGTCGCCGGAACAGCACTGTGATTGTGACGAATATGAAGGGATTATTAAATAATCGGAATAAAAGAATCGTGGCGGGTTGCTTAAAAGTTTCACAGTTCACACATGTCGCATAATGAAAAGATTCATATGACAACCTGGAAAATAGTTGACATGGGCTGGTAAATTTATCCCATAATGATTTGCTCTCACATTCTCCTCTCAGGTCGGTACACGTTTTTGACCCAGCTATGATCATCAACCAGAGCAACCATGTTGGCGCCCAAAAAATAAAAAAAAATAAAAACAGAGACTGTTATTATTTGTGGCATCCCATCTATACGCACCGAATTTTCTTCCATTCTAGGCCACCTTAGCGTAAACCTAATAAGCTGTTAACTGCCGAATTGATAGTGATTAACTGTGCAATTCTCCCCCCCCCCCCGGGGACAATTCTGGATCTATCTCCTGGACCGACCCAACTTTTAAGCCCATTTATGAAGGCCCGAAATCAAAAGCACCAGAATCACATACGTAAGAGAGCCTATCCTCAATTTTGTGACATCAAGTACTACACTCAATCTTTAAGATAAGGGCTAAATATAAAATTTAAAGATATTAAAAAAACTAGTTAAATTTGTTATTTATTACAAATATGTGTTGATATTCCCAAAATTGTTTTCATCATATGCATTTGATTGCCCCTTGGTCAGAACTTTTACAATCAATAGGGATATTTGAAAAATAAATAAAACAAAATAGATTAATATTTTATATTTAAAATCAAACTAATTCCTCTAACTAGTTTTTATATTAAGAATAAAAGATAATATCACTTGTCAAGAACCTTGATATGGTTAACTTTAACATGTAATTAGGACCAAAAGGGAGTATTTATTATGCATTAATATTATTTAATTGTGCGTCCAAAATATAGGATATTTCTTATAAGCTAGTATTGGTTGAAAATGTGTGACACTCTGCAAGATGTCAATAACATAAAAATATTTTTTTCTTCCCACAAATGCCCTTTTTTTGGGCCTGAACAAATGCCCTTATTCACTGTATCGGATAAAGTGACTATACTGGAGGGCAATCTTAAAAAATAATGACAATTTCTATCAATTTAATGATGAAAAACACAAAATACATATAGAAAATGATAATCGAGGACTTTCTTAAATTCTAATTACATATCTCTAATTATCAGCTCGATCATAATTTTACATTTAGGCGTGTTATCCTGGCTAGGCACACATTTTGTTTTTGGCAAATAACAATCACACACACTATTTTTTTCTGCTTTTATTATCGTAAAAATATTATAAGATAAACAACTAATAAAAATGGTTTAGTTGATAAATAGTTGACTCATAACCCATAAGGTTATAAGTTCGAATTTTGTTGCTGATGTAAGGACCTTATTGGTGAGCAATTTATAAATATTTTAGTAAGCGTTCTTTGATAAAGGCATGTCTTGACCCGGATGAGTTAACCCATCTTATCCTTACACACACACATATATATAACATTATAAGATAAACGTGCATGCGAACACATAAAGAGATCTCTTTCATAGAACGCAACGTAACATGTTATCCTATCCAACAAATTCACCTATGTACGTATAATAAAGCAAGAATCATAATCAGGCAAAATAATAATAATAATAATAAAGCAAGAATCATAAATTATTGAATTCAACGGATTTCGTAATCTCAACAATCAAACAATTAATTTCAATTTTATTACGAACAGGTAATTACTATCCTGATTTACAATGTATTCCTCCAATCCTTAATATAAGATCCATTTAACTAATTTGATTAGATTAAGAAAGTTAGGTAAATTAGTTAATTATAAGAAAAGTGACACATTTTTCTTAAAATATCATAATCATCTTTTTTAATACCCCCTCTGCCTTTTCTACTTGATTATAGTTGAGAGAATATCCATAGGGGTAATTTAGAAAAACTTGATAAATATGAGAAATATGTATTATATTTAGGATCATAATCAACTCAAGAATTGAGCCTTATATTAAAGACCGGAGGAGCGCATTCATAAATTAATGCAAAATATCTTTTCATTTTTATTTAAAATATTCTAGATATACAACGTATCTCTATACTCACGTGTGGGCCTCAGCCAAACTAAGGACAAACAAAATAAGAAAAGGCATTGAAATATCTTTTTTCCCTGGTTATCAACATATATCATTCGTATCACAGCATTATCGCAAATTCCAATGGTAACAATGGCGTGGTTGGCAACTTGCTCAAGCCTGGTTATTGTGGGTTTGCTTGCTCTTGCAGTTCAAGTTCTGTACTTCTCTCCGATTGACCCAATCATACTGGAAAGGCCCCCATTATCTTCTTTCCCCGTCAACAACCATTTGCAGAACGTCATCAAGCTCGGAGAAGGAATTCTGAAAGATCCAGAAGATATTTGTGTGGACAAACATGGCACTCTTTATACGGCAAGCAGAGATGGTTGGATCTTGCGATTACACCGAAATGGTTCCTGGGAGCACTGGAAGAACATTCATAGTCGGACTTTGCTTGGAATTACTGCCACAAGACAGGGTGATGTCATTGTTTGTGATTCTGACAAGGTCATCAACATATCTCCTCTTTTACATATGATTTGTAAACTTGCTTTAAGAAGACCTATGTAGACCATTTTCTACTGTCTGGGTCTCTAATTTGATGAGATTTTCAGCTTTCTGAGATACTGGGGAGTAATTTTGTGTGCAGGGGTTGCTTAAAGTTACGGACGATGGCGTCACGGTTCTTGTTTCTCAGCTGAATGGTTCTAAATTAAGGTAACAACTTTGTCATATAATTATTAACGGGAAACAGTTACTTTCATGGGTTTTCGTAGTTGTTGCTGCTTCCTCCGGGAGAAAGCAGGCCAGGCTTAATTATTTGGGTAGACCAGTGTGTATTGATTTTAACATAACTGATAATTCCTCTTCAATGAAATAATGAATAACTAGGTTATGCGCAATCAACTAACACTGTTCGGTTAAAAATGAAAAGAAAAATCATCAGTTATCACAGGATTTGAAATAGTTGAACTACATAGGTTGGCAGATGAAGTGGTGGAAGCTTCAGATGGAATCTTATATTTCAGCGATGCTAGCACCAAATTTGATCTGCACAACTGGTTTCTAGATCTGCTGGAAGCAAGACCTAATGGCCGATTGCTCAAGTACAATCCTGCCTTAAATGAAACTTCTGTTTTCTTAGATAATCTGACTTTTGCCAATGGCGTTGCACTCTCCAAAGACGAAGACTATCTCTTGGTCTGTGAAACTTGGAAGTAAGGCCGTCTTAACTCACATTCCCTCTTCTTCTTTTCTATACTTTTAGTATATATGCTGACAGCTTAATTTATTTATATCAGACATAGTTGTCTGAGGCACTGGCTAAAAGGAGAGAAGAAAGGCAAGACAGAGACTTTCATTGAGAATCTGCCTGGTGGACCTGATAACATTCATCTTGCTCCTGATGGGTCTTTCTGGGTGGCTTTGATTCAGGTAATAAAAATGGTGAATTAGTCAGTGCTCAGGTTCAAACTTCAAACTGCATAAATTGAATCGATTTTCTTCAAAACTGATGCCATGTCACATATACAGGCTACTTCTGAAGAAATGGGGTTTGTGCACTCTTCAAAGGTATTAAAGCACTTGGTGGCTTCATTTCCAAAACTGGGTAATGTGATCAGGGGTACAAATAAGAAGGCAATGGTGGCGAATGTGGGAAGCGACGGTAAGATAATCAGAATATTTGATGATAGCGAAGGGAAGGTGATGACTTTTGTGACTTCGGCATTAGAGTTTGAGGACCATCTTTACCTGGGAAGTCTCAATTCCAACTTCATTGGGAAATTACCATTGCGCAGCGAAACCAAAACTAGCTAGTTACTTATCAATGCAAGTTAAGCTTTTGTATTGTGTATTGTCAACTCAATGTCATGTTGTGTGGGAAGACAACTGAATCAGCATAATTTGTTTTTCGTTTCTGGCCTCTGTTTTTCCAGAACAGAGTAAAACTGGCCGGCACACATTGATATATATCACAGAACAAATAACAATCACCACACAGCCCGAAGATAGAATCCGTAGCCAGTGATGATATTGAAAAGGAAAGCAAGGGATGGACCATGGAGGGAGGGGCGGGTCCGTAATTTGTGGGGTCGGCGTCCCCAAAATATCGTACGTAACCGCCAACTTGGAAAATCTCTGCAGCCAGACAGTTGCATCCTTGACAACTTACACGTTCATGTGGAATCTCCAACATTATTCCACATGCTCAATTATCAGCAATGACAGATAAGATTTATTTAATCAACAGTTAAAAAATATATAATCCCATTATCTCATTAACTAAATCATATGTTTAATTATCATGTATTCTTATTATTATTAAATATTTCTTTAAATAGTTATGGCAAACATCGTATTTTATCCTCGCATTCTAATGAAAAATTATAAATTTTCTTAATAAATAAATAACAATAAAAATGCAATTTCGTTTTTATTTACGCATAGATTGATATTAAAAGATAAAGAACATAAGGAAGCAAGAGACAAAGAGGTAGAGAATCACTATTCCATTCCTTTGCGGTCCCATCCTACCGTTATTCAGAACAGACATCTCCATAGTTTGGTAATACTAATAGGTCGTCTTCTGCCGTAGATTTCTTACTCCTTTTGCTTTAAGGCGTCTAATATGGTGAAACTTTTGTGCTGGTTGTTCATGCCAATGAGCGTCTTTGAGTATTTGGCAAATTTTCTTCTTTTCTTTAATTAATTAATTTTTATACAATTATTTACATCCCAAAAGCCAGTCG